CAAGAGTGTCTCAAAAATAAACATTTTAGGGCTGGGGTTGTGGCTCAGTGGTAGAGTGCTTGCCTTACATGTGTGAGGCACTGGGTTCAATTCTTAGCACCGCATATAAATAAATGAATAGAATAAAGGTCTTTCACCCTTAAAAATTTTTTTTTGAAAATAAACATTATTATTTTGTTTTTTATATATTATTTAAAAAATAATTTTGAAAAAATTGACAAGGACTCAGATATGCTGGTACACACCTGATATTCCAGCTACAAAGTGCTGAAGATGAGCTCAGTTGTAGAACTCTTGCTTATAATCATGAGGTCCTGGGTTCAATCCCCAGTCTCCAAACTAAAATAAAAACAAGGAAAACAAATGTGGATAACATAGAAGTGCTTCTAAAAGATTTCTACAATAGCACAAAGAAATTGGAGGTCGATCATACTTGAACATACTTAGTGAAGTAGTAGTGAAAAGACAAATAGAACATAGCATGGCTGCCGGGTGTGCTAAAAGGTTTGAGGAGTGTGAAGAGGGGTTTCACTATGTGAACGAACAGGCCATCTGGTTTGTGAATTGGATGAGAAAGAAACCTTTATCTTTTAAATTTTATTTTCAGTACTGGGGTGGGAACACAGTGGTGTTTGACCACCCCTCTACCTCTACCAGCCCTTTTTATTTTTTATGCTGAGATAGGATCTTGCTAAATTGCTGAGGCTAACCTCATACTTAAGATCCTCCTGCCTCAGCCTCCACAATTGCTGGGATTACAGATGTGTGCCATTGTACCCAGCTACAAATCTCTATCTTTACATCAACAGTGGTGCAAGAATTAGAGCAAAATGCCCATCTGACTGAGGCCTAGAGGAAGAGTTATCTCCTTGAATGTTTGCATTCTAAAAAGATGACTTTCAGGTCTTTGAGAAGACAAGTGATAGAAAATTTACTTCTCAAAGGGGCAGAGAAAGAATTTTAAAAATTGCAATCCTTCTGAATTAATTACTCTATAAGAGGGCTTAGGGACTATGTCTATTACCAGGTTTTGGCTGGAACAAATGGTACACTTTCTTGGAAGCATTGAGCTTTTTCAGGCAAACCATTTTAAGGTGGAGTTGGGAGGGAACCTGGGGCCTGTGTAGGGATATGGTCTCAAATTGCTAGAAGTCATGCTAGAATTTGGTCAAGGAGACAGTCTTGCCAGGCATGGTCATGCATGCCTGTAATCCAGATGATTTAGAAGGCTGAGGCATAACAAGTTTGACACTAGCCTGTTCAATTTAGCGAGACTCTGTCTCAAAAATAAAAAGAACAGGGGATGTGACTTAGTTGTAGTGCACCTCTGGGTTCAATAGTACTAGGTTAGGGGAA